GAGCCTGTTTCTGATACTGTGTCTCCCTCTCTCTCTGCCCCTCCCCCGTTCATGCTCTGTCTCTCTCTGTCCCAAAAATAAATAAAAAACGTTGAAAAAAAATTTTTTTTTAAAAAAATAAAAATCCAAAGGAAGGTTAAAAATAGTGCCCTCTTGGGTAGTTTTTGGATGAGTCAAATGAAATATGACCACATAATACACTCAGTAGTTGTCATTATCAAAAGCTCTGTGTCCTTGGGTAAGGTGACTCGCCCCTCTAGGACTCAGTGACCTGCCTGTAAAATGGGGATCATGAGGAGTATCTACTCACAGGGGGTTGTAAGATACGAGATAATGCATAAGGCATTTATCTTAGTAACTCAAGGAGTGTTAGCAATCTTTATGAGTAGCGATGTTATTTTTGAATTGCGTTTCATAAGTGAAACTTCTTAATTAAGATATAAAATTGACTCACCTAAATTTTACTCAAAAACATATGTGTAATCGACTTTCTAATTGCAGTGAGTTAAAAACTCAATGATATTCTGCAAATAGGTTATACATTTTTAGATGCATATTCTTTTGAAATGATAGGAAGAATAACATCCATTTACTTTTAGAGAGAATGAAAATATTGAATAGGATTTGAAATAAAATCGTAAGATAATGAAAATCTGCGTTTTCATGAAAACTGAAAAATATTCTCAACTCACGGCCCCTCAAATATTCTCCCAGAGGAGATTTATTCTGTGCCCTATGGAAGGAGTAAGGAAACAAAAAGAAGTTGCTAAAAAGACAACATTGGAAATTTGAAAGTCAGACATCTAAGCGGCAATATCTCATGATTAAAAAACGTTAAAAATAATTTCTGAAAGATGATGCACCTTGCCACCGGTCTAATTGGCCTACATTATGTCTGCGAGTCCTGGTAAAGGAGAAATCTACAAAGTGTGCTGTTAAGCATGATAATGGAATCCTGTCTCTGGCCCTAGTTTGCCATGTGGCTTTGTGCCAATTATTTAGATTCTCTGTGTCTTTTCCAGCTTTTAGTATGCTTTCTCTTTCAGAGGCATACTAAAAAACTACATCTGGTAATACAGGTGTCATTTCTTATAGGCCCTGGGAATGGAGCCTTTCTTTCAAGGGAAACTCCCCCTTTCTGACGCCTGATGAAGAAAGAGTAACTAACCGGTCAAGGATGCCAAGTCTCTCCATCTACAACGTTTCTTATAATTACAAAGGAATTTGCCTTCCAAACTTGACCTCAGCCCTGTAGCCTTTTATAATATAGTTATAGTAAAAAGATTCAGGAAAGGGGTGTTTTTTTTTTCTCTATATATCTCATTATTCCTAAGGATGTTTATACCATTCCTTGCCCTGTCCACACCTTTTTCTAAACATGCCTCAGGGGACAGCACAGGGGTTCTCTTCCAAAAAATAGAACCACGATAAAGCCAAGCCAAACTGAAGCACCTCCCAGGCAGTTTTTTTTTTTTTTTTTTTTTTTTTTTTTTTTTTT